GTCTCTTAAACACTACAGCCCCGGCGCGGTGTTCAACAGTGGAACCATACTGGTCGTGATATCCACCCCACACCTGCAGGGCTGTAGTGTCCAACACACACACACACACACACCACACAGCACCAACAGCGACACGGCAATTCACGCACACTTTGCTTCAACAGCATGCAACCTGCCACCGGTACTTAACCCGGTCACCCGCGTTCCCGCGGGTTCCCCGGGCGCCTTCAGAGTAGATTACCGATCCGTGCTTTAGTGATTTAGGCCCCGCCGTGCACGCATGGCCTCGAACTGGCACCCTCCGCCACAGGAACCAAGTCTTGTAAACACTGCCGCCCCGCCGCGGTGTTCAAATGTGGAACCATACTGGGCGTGATATCCACCCCAACCCTGCAGGGCTGTAGCGTCCAACACACAAACACCACACACAGCACCACACCGACACGGCAATTCACGCACACTTCGCTTCAACAGCATGCAACCCACCAACGGTACTTGACCCGGTCACACGCATTCCCGCGGGTCCCATGTGCGCCTTGACAGTAGTGTACTGATCCGTGCTTTAGGGCTTCTTCAGGCCCCGCCGCGCACGCACGGCCTTGAACCGGCACCCTCAGCCACAGGAACCAAGTCTCTTAACCACTACAGCCCCGGCACGGTGTTTCGAAAGTGGAACCAAACCGGAACGAGCCAAAAGAAAAGGTGATCACACTGACTAGAATAAAAGAAACAGAAGGGGTGACCAACCTTGCAAAAAGGCTGATTGCCAAGACTGAAGGGGATATCTGTTAAAGGCAAAGGGGGCTCACTTGTTTTTTTGCAGAGTGGACAACTGTTGGCGTCGCCTTCCCGCTGAGGTCATCTTCTGATTTCATCGATCCCTCCTCCCCACCCCCCCCTGTGGACAATCTTCTGGTGGATCAGGCCTGGTATGGAGCGCAACGACAGGGTTGGCTAGGGATGTTCTACAGAGTCGGAAACCTTCTGCTCGCTTCAATGAATTTTCTGGCGATCTGAATTGGATCGAAGAGGTAGAAGAAAAAGTGGTTCCCTCCTACAGGGGCATTATATCCCCTGGAGGCCGAGGGCAATGTCTAGCTCTTGGAACTCAACCTCATGTCCATTTCATCTTGTTTGTTGTTATCTTGGGACACTGGGCCCGGTTCCACGGTTCCCAGCACCTGCTGCTCCCCATCAAGACACTGGAGCCTTCTCAGGAGTGGACCCTGCGCCGGGCCCAAGGGAGACCCCCTGGACAGTGGACGAACATCAGAAAGTTCTTAAAAAATAAAAATAAAAAAAATCCCTGATCGATGATTTGGTGAGAGGTGGCGGTCTTGATTGGTTCTCTCTCCATCAGACTCCGCAACGAGGGGAGTTTTGTGTGGCTGTCTTCTACCCCCGCTCCCTGTTAGCACTGCAAAGTGCGAACATTATGGTAATGAGGTCCGAGCTCGGGTCGTCGGTTTGCTGCTATGAATAAGAGAGACCCAGCGGGCAATGAAAGGTTAGGTTAGATGAAAACGAAAACCGAAGGGAGAACGTTGCCACAGTGCACAAGTTGACGTCCCAACTTTTTGCTAATGCTCCTTTAAAAACAGGAGAAACTTTGTATCCTGTAAAATAGTGGGACGCTGAACCCCTCTTTCCAGCAGGTGCTGCTCCCTGCCCCACCGATAGATCGAAGCCATCCCTACAGGAACCCTCTATCGAGGAGGCTGTTTCACCACCTCCTCGATAGAGGAGGTGCAGCGTGATGTTTGTTTAAAAGAGAAGGGGAAAAATATAAGAGTGGGGGATTGTCTTCCTTCCCGATGATATGCCCTAATAAGCTTGCCGACCGTTTCCTGCCCTTTCTTTCCTGGTTCGACGTTCCAACGTAGATCTTCGGGACTTGCCACATGGCTCGCAAAACGAAAAAATAAACGAGTGCATCTTCCCACAGGGAACTGGCAAGATTCATCCATTCACTATGAATAAGAAAATGAATGTACCTTGCCGCCATCAGTGGGAAGATGCACTCGTGCTTGTCTCGTTTCGTGTGCCATGTGGCGAGGCCCTTCATCTGATTTGCAGCTAATATTGACTATTTAAAAAAAAAAAAAAAGCACATACCTCTCTCTCTTTCATCCTCCCTCCCCGTGCTCTTCTCCTGCTTCTTTCCTCCTCCCCCCCTCCATGGGTTAACCTCAAGACCACCTTTGGCAACAGCCGTCATAAAACGGAATGCCTCAGAAAGACTAAGAGAAGGGGAAAACAGGAAAATAAAAATTACTTAAATTAGAAAATACATATATTTTTTTTAAGAATGGGAAGCCGAAACTTTGGACGGTGAAAGAAAAAAAAAAAGAAAAAAAGAAAAGAAAACTTTGGATGGTGCTGATGAGCCATCGCACTGACCTCCAACGATTTCTCTTATTATCACTTGTGGCTGGACATCTTCTGCAACAAGTCTGTATATATCTCTCACCTGCAATTCCGAAACGACAAAAAATAAATCGGGAAAGAAGAGACAACGAGAACAGCAAAAGTTGATTCATGGTGTGACTCAATCATTGGACGGTTAAACCAAAAAAAATAAAAAAAATAAAAAAATTGGACAGTTAAAAAAAACCCTACAAAAACAGCAGCAAAAGGAGGCCCAAAAAAAGGTCCGTTTCTCCTCCTAAGTAACAGCAATGGCAGGAACAAGAAGAGCAGAGGAAACAACAGCTACCGTGCTCCAAGCAAGTGCCTCTCCAGCAGAGTGTTTCAAACCGCTACCTCTCACGATGAATGCCAATGGGAACAACAACTCATGATGATTCTTATGTAGGACATATAGTACGACTCACATCATGAACGGACAAATAGAGAAAAGCCGACAAAAAACGGAAAAGGATAGCGACACACTATGTCTGTGAAACCGTACGAGTGCGCTCAAGTGCGTGCTTACACCCCCCCCCCCCACCACTGTGCTAAAACTGGCTCAAAGCGTTTTCCGGCGCGCACGTTTGTCAAAAAAAGAGTGCGTGCACCTGAGGGGGTTGGGTGAGTGCAGGGGATGTCGTAGGGGGGGTTGCGCGGAAAAAAAGAATAGGGGGGTGGGGGTGCTTTTTTGTAGGGGGGGAGGTAGGGGAGTGTGGAGGAGAGTAAAGGGAGAGTGGAGGGAGAGCAGCGAGGAGGCAGCACGATGTCGAGCAAGGAGGTAGCAAGGATGCAGCGAGGAGCACGGCGAAGTCGACAGCGGGGCTCGTCCACTGAGGTGGTTGACTGCCAGCCTCTCTCTCTCTCTCTCTCTCTCTCTCTCTCTCTCTCTCTCTCTCTCTCTCTCTCTCTCTTGCTTGCACGACCTACCTACTTGCTACAGGTGACCTGCGTACCTGCTATGGACCACCTACAACGCTATAACCTACCCCAACCATCTTCCACCTCCTCCCTCAGCCATTTTCCACCGCCTCCCTCTTCCATCCTCCCTCGTCCATCTTCCACCTCCTCCCTCCTCTGTCCACCATCTTCCAGTCATCCCAGCTTTTTGTTTCCTTTTCTTTTTTTTCGTTTGATTATTCTGTTGATAGCAGCTCCCCTTCCTCCTCTCGCCACCATTTCCATCCCCTCCTCTCGCCATCATCCACCTACTCTGTCTCTTCTCCTCCTGCCATCTTTCACCTCCTCCCTCCGCCATCTTCCACCTCCTTCATCTCTCCTCCTTCCACAATCTTCCACCTCCTCCCTCCTCTGCCTGCCATCTTCACGTCATCCCCCCTTTTTTTTCTTTTTAATCAAATTGTTGAAAGCGGCTTCCCTTCCTCCTCTCGCCGCCTTTCCAACTTCGTCCATCACCCCCTCCTCCCATCATCATCCACCTCCTCCATCTCTTCTCCTCCTGCCATCTTCCAAATCCTTCCTCCCTCCGCCATCTTCCACCTCCTCCCTCCATCATCTTCCACCTCTGTCCGCCGTCTTCCATGTCATCCCACCTTTTTTTTTCTTCCGTTTGATTATTCTGTTGACAGCTGCTCCCCTTGCTCCTCTCACCGCCATTTCCAACTTCGTCCATCCCCTGCTCCAGCCATCACCCACCTCCTCCATCTCTCCTCCTCCTGCCATCTTCCACATCCTCCCACTGCCATCATCCACATCCTCCATCTCTCCTCCTTCCATAATCTTCACCTCCTCCCTCCTCTGTCCGCCATCTTCCATGTCATCCCACGTTTTTTGTTCGTTTTTTTTTTAATTTCTATTTTTGTTTCATTATCCCGTTAAAAGCTAGGCTACCAGAGTGGCCCGGGGTCACTTGCCCGGCCGGGCCAAAAAAATAAAAATAAAAAATATATTTTTAAAATTTATTTTTTATTTCAAATTTGGTGAAGAATTTGGATGTGACCCTGAGGCAAAAGTTGTTCAGTTTATTTTTCTGCATAACATATTTTGTTTTTGGATTTTTTTTTTTTTCGTTTTTTTTTTTTTTTGCTGGGACCTTCCCTGGTTCTCGCACGGGCTGGCCACCCGGGACCCGGGCGGCCCGGCTGGTAGCCTAGGTTAAAAGCGGCTCCCCTTCTTCCTCTTGCTGCCATCTCTGATGTCCTCCAACCTCTCGTCCCTCTTCCTGTCTCTTATACACATCTAGATGTGTATAAGAGACAGGTTGTAATCGGCTCCCCTTCCTCCTCTCGCTGCCATCTCTGATGTCCTCCAACCTCTCGTTTCCCTGCCATCATCCACCTCCCCCATCTTCGACCTCCTACCTCCTCCGTCCTCCATCGTCCACCTACTCCCTCCTCTCGGCGCCATCTCTGACGTCCTCCGGGCCCTCCTCTCTCCTCCCACCTAGTTTTGGAATTTCCAATCCCATAATTCTAGCTTTCGTCCACCTCCTTCGTCCCTCCTCCTTCCTCCTTTGGCCTTCTCCTGCCTTCTCCGTCCCTTTCCCACCCTCATTGACACATCCCCTCCATGACCTCCTTCCTTGGCCATTGCCAGCCTCTTCCTTTTTTTTTTGTTGAAGTTCTGTCATTATCATGACATTTCAAATTTCAAATTTCAAACTTAAAACTTCCGTAATTTTCAACGCCCATAATTTTAATTCCTGGCATTTTCCTGCAGTAAACTTTTCATTTCCTTTCTGGCTGTTTGCATTCCGCCTGAGAGTTGTGAAGAGACAGTGATCGACGAAGTGGAGAGCCTCAGAGTGACAGTGACGGACAAAGGGGCTGACATAACCTTGTGTTGGATGCTTGGCTGTTTGGTCATGCTTGCAGGGCAGTATGACGTCGAACAACTTCTGCAGTCCTTGAAGAAACACTTCAAGGACCATGGCCCTGCTGGCACGAACACAAGCAAGGGTTCAAAGAACTGGCAATGCAACTACTGCGAGACCAGGTTCGGTGGCACGGCAACGAGATTGAAGGACCATTCCCTTCGACAGTGCACCCTGGACTTGGTGACAAGAACGTTCAAGACGGTGGAGAGGATTGGGAGGGAGGCAGGGATCTGACGGGCCAAGCAATTAGCCTAAGTGATCCATGGCGGAGGAGGAATTCCTGGTGCAGGTCCCAGCAACCTGCAATCGGTGAGCAGTTTGGTTACTGAGACCAGGGGCACCAGTGCAGCACAGGTTGGCGAGTCGGGCATTCCGCTGCAGACTTCGGGGTACACTGCCGGGGCAGGGACATCTGCAGGCGGGGGAGGGCGGGGCCATTTGCAATGTGGCCAGCTCGGCAGACGCTGTTGGAGGAGGCTTTCACATTGTCACCAAGAACAAGCGTACCACTCGCAAGCTCGATCAATGGATGACATGCACTAACCAGCCCTTAACATGGTGGACAACAATGTTTTCCTGGAGATGATCGACGCTGTGCGGAATGCCCATGCCACTTCGGTGCCGCCTAAGAGGGATGAGGCAAGAACGAAGAGATTGGACGGCCAGTACACACGCGCGCAGGCGGATGCAAACGGCCTCATGAAGAAATGGCAGGTGATGGGATGCATGATCCAGCTGGATGGGTGGAGTGACCGGAGAAGAACAGGCCTTATTTGAAGATGATGGTGTCATCCCCGATCGGCACCATCTTTTGGAAGTCTGTCTGGCGTGGCCTACTTCAGGATCCTGGACAGTGTGATAAAGGAAATTTGACCCAAGTCCTTGGTGTGCATTGTCATGGACAACATGAGGGTAATGTGTGAAGGAGGGGAAGATGGTCGAGGTTGCCTACCCCTGCATCTTCCGCGTTGGTTGCATGGCGCATGCGCCGGATCTAGCGCCAGAGGACTTGTGCAAGGACATTGGGTGGCTAAAGAGGGTGGTGGAAGCCAACAACAACATAGGGAAATTCTTCACGAATGTGGACAAGGTTCGTGCCATCTATCGCAGCTTGGGGGCAACGGTGCAACTGAAGCAGGCGACAGTGACTCATTTTGCCACCAACTTTCAGATGTTGGAGTCCATAAGGGGCGTGAAGTTTCCTTTGCAGCAGTGCGTGGTGGACAATGAGCGGAAGGAGAAACTGGTGAGGCTGGACCAAGTGGCGAAGGCTCATGCAGTTATGGAACCTGTGGTGGAGCTGTTGCGTTTGGTTGATGGGCCAGGTGCAACGTTTAGCAAGGTGTACTTGCACATGGACAGCCTTGTGGAGCGGATGCACAAACTCGCTCGTCTAATGGAGGACGAGCAAGTTGAGGTGGAAAGTATACTATGGACTGGTGGGCTTTTCTCCTATTGGAGAGTTGATCGTGGTAGAAGCAACTGTAGGTGGCCGAAAAGCAGGGGCACTTGCAGATATAGCCTCTACTCGCAACGACATTAGCCGCGCTTGCTTAAAAGGTCTGCGCCTAGAGGACCGGGTGCAAAAGCTGAGTAGATCTATAGTATCTATCTTAGCTAACAACAACGGATTGTGTTGCAGGACTACGTTAAGGACGTGGTCTGTACCTTCTCCTATGCAGGAGGTAAAAAGAAACACAAGGTTTTCGTTCTGGTTAGCGACGAGCTCCCCTTTGATATGATCCTAGGTATGTACTATGTTGACGTTCTCCTATGCAGGAGGCAAAAAGAAACACAAGGTTTTCATTCTGGTTAGCGACGAGCTTCCCTTTGATATGATCCTAGGTATGTACTATCTTGACGTTGCCAAGCCCCAGTTTGAACTGCCTGAGGGACAGACAGTACTTCTCAGGATGTTCAAACCTGAGAAGTTGGCGGAGGACTCTTATGGCTGTTTGTGCGCTCATGTGTTCTATAATCATTATAAGCAGAATCGCGACGAGGGTATGTATCTAGTCTTCGTGTCTTAGAAAGGGCAGGCCATCAAGACCCTGCCTGAGATAGAGAAAGTCATCGCTGTGTATTCTAACCTTCAGGAGGAGCCCTCACACGTTGTTGATGGGGAGCTCATCCATGCGATAGAGATTATCCCGGATAGCGAAGTGCCCAAGGGTAGGATCTATAGGATGTTTCCAGATGAGCTTGATGAGCTCAGGTGGCAACTGAAGGAGCTTAGTGAGAAGGGATGGATACGACCAAGCGCATCTCCCTACTGTGCGCCTGTATCATTTGTTCCTTAAAAAGGGGGGACACTGAGGATGTGCATTGCCTATAGGGGCCTCAATGTCATCACCGTGAAGAATGCCGAGCCCCTACCTCGCATCGACGACCTCTTGGATAGAGTTAAAGGGATGTAAGTACCTCACCAAGATAGATATGAAGTCCAGGTATCACCAGAGACAAATTGGACCGGAGGATCAGCACAAAACCGCTTTTCAGATTCGGTGCGGTCTATGCGAGTTTGTACTGATGCCGTTTGGTCTTCGTAATGCACCTGGTGCATTCCAACATGCCATGAACCAGATCTTTCATGACTACTTAGATAAGTTTATCGTCATGTACCTCGACGATATCCTTGTCTTTAGTAGGGAACTGGAGGAGCACTTACAACCCCTAGACATTGTGCTGGTCTACTCCAAAAACACAAGTATAAGATCAACCTGGAGAACCACGAATTCGGCCGCACCAGGATCTTGTACTTGGGTCATGGGATTTCTGAGGAGGGTCTGACTCTTGAAAATGCAAAGGTGGCTAGCATTAGGGACTGGCCCGACCCCGGTGTCTGACAGAGATCAGATCTTCCTTGGGGATGACGAACTACCATAATCCGCTCGTGAAAAACTATATAGCATGATCGCAAGCCCCTTGACTGATGTAACACGCCTTGACACCCCATTGGAATGGACAGTGGACGGCCAGCATACCTTCAGGAGGCTGAAGCAAGGCCTGACGCATCGCAAGCCCCTTGACTGATGTAACACGACTTGACAACCCATGGGAATGGACAGTGGACGGCCAGCATACCTTCAGGAGACTGAAGGAAGGTCTGACGCATCACAAAGTCCTTACGATTCCCGACCCTGACCAGCCTTTCATTGTGACAACTGACGGTAGCCAGTACCCTATAGGTGCAGTCTTGCAATAGCAGGAGCACAAGTGGTTAACAGGGACCCCCACTTCTCAGCCCCAGGTTAACACCCCCAACACTGAAAAGTGCATTTGGGGATTTTTTTTTTAGGGTTTTTTTTTTTTTTTGTTGCCCTGTTTTATTTTTGGTCAAGGTCTGCGTGTGCCAAGTTTGGTGTTTGTTGGGGTCTTGGAGATTACTGTTTTGGCCAGCCCTGAAAATCCTGAAAATCCTGAAAATCCTTTTTTTTTTTTTTTTTTTTTTTTTCAGCAAAACAGAACCTTACGGTTCTGGCTCCTTTTCCATTCTGGGGAGCATCAGTCCGGTTCCTATTCCACCGGCAAGTCAGGAATAATTACAATGGGTACTCACACACGCTCCTCCCCTTTATGGTAGGAAGGCCCGAAAGACGGCATTGATTACTTCCCAAGGAAGGATGTACCACCCTTCACCCCTGCCTAAGCTAGCCTGCTTGACGTACTCTTAGACTTGGATGGCCTTCCGGATTTGTGGACCTGTCATGTAGTTGCTGAAGGCCTGTCTATGTGGGCTGACTCTAGCTTTTCCTCTCAGCTGTATGGCTGTCAGAACTGTGTGGATTACTGGTAGAGCTAGTTCGGCCTTCATCTGCGCCCTTGTTTATGACCCTTGAGTTACCTTTCTATGCCCTGTAGTGCTCTATAGCCTTGGATTGTGTTTTAGGCTTCTATTTTTAATAAGTTGCTTTTCCTCCCAACGCTAAACCCTAAACCCTCATCCATTATCTACTTATGGGGGGGGGGGGAATCCTGAAAATCCAAAAAAACTGAAAAGAGGAAATTTTGCATGAAACGACACTTTTGCCTCGGGGTTTTAGGCCCCTTTGATCCATTTTTATTTATTTTTTTACTTTTTTTTTTTGCTGTTGGTTTATTTGGTGTCCACTCTATGGACTGGTGAGAAGTCTGGCTTAAAACGTGTGCGGCGTTTGTTATAACGACCCTGAAAAAACCCTGCTGAAAATTTAGGGCTCTGTTAACCTCTTCTCCCAGTTAGCTGAAGCTGAGTAACGGCCCCAGTACCTGTTCCGGGTAGAATTGTGATATCTCGGGCTCTTGATAACCTGTCAACAGTGTCAAGCAATAAACTTGAATAAAGACATTTTTTTCAAAAAAAGGAGAAAAAAGGATGAAGGGGGAAGTGGAATAAGCGAAACATGAAATGATGGTTGCCGCAAGGAGACGAGAGAGTGGACAAAAAGAGGGAGAAGGAAGAAGAATGCACCGTGGATGATAAAGAAAAGGTCACGCGTTCCGTATCTGACAACTGACCTCTTGGACATGGAGCCTGCTGTCCTGAGTGAGCGCCAAAAGGAGTTGTCGCCGGAGCTCCCTATCCACTAGCATGACGCGGGTGCCATCCTTGATGGTATCCTTCAAATCCAACCCAGAACCCCTACTTGATGAACCATTTGCTCTGAAGCACCGAGGAAGCACCGAAGGTTTTGGCAATACCAAATGCACAGTAACAGAGAATACAGTCAGAATGCTCCGGACCAAACCCCGTCAAATCCGACCATGTGTGGTCTGAAGCGACGAGGGGCTTGGGAGTCGGATTGTACTCAGAGAGTCAGAGGACGAATTAAGTCAGTGCACCCGGGGAATGATACCAACCAAGCCCCCGAACAGGATTGGTTTTCCTTTTCCCGCTTCTTTTTTCCACTTCTTTTTGCCCATGAATTTTATCAACCAAGCCCCCGAAAGACGAAGTGAAAATGAAAACGCACTTGAACTAGCCGGAACTCGGGAGAGAAGGGCAATGAGAAGACTCGGATGGGGTGCCTCCTGGGGTCTTATTCTCCCATGAGGAGAAAGCAACGGATCTTTATGCAAGCCAGATGCTCCATGCTTGCACACTGGTTTCGAGAAGAGTGCTGCTCCTGTCATCATTCTGTATTATGTGTCTCACACCTGTTTCATCTTGTTGCACACTGCTGGATAGATCAAGAACAGAGACTTGGTTATAGACTGTGAATTTGTTCTCTGGAGCAGTGTGCAACAAGATGAAACAGGTGTGTGTGTGTGTGTGTGTGTGTGTGTGTGTGTGTGTGTGTGAGTCGGTTTTAAATTTCCCCACAACAGCCCCAGTTCCACCTAGAAGTGTAGATTCAGAATCAAAGCAGCTTTTGTCCTATTGCAGACCATGAGAGCACTTGAGTTGAGACAGTCCAACATTTAAGCAATTTTACAATTAGACAGTTTTTTGGTTATCCTTGGGGTACCCCTTCCATTTGTTTTTACAGCTCCCCTTTTTTACTGTGCCTCGCACGTACAAGGATGCCCGCGTTGATTGTGGATGAGCGGCAGCCCTGTGTGCCTTAACGGCCCACTTGCACGTTAAGAAAGGAGGCAGAGTAAAGGGGAAGGTATACTCCTGTTCATTTCACTTCGGATCTTCAGCTTATACTTTGTCTGTTCTCTTAATGATGCTCATTCGTACTTAGTAGCACATAAGGGGAGGGTAAAGGGAAAGAGGTAAGAAGCGGAGTTCTGTAGTGAGTAAGGGGCTGGGGAGGGAGAAAGGGTAGGAGAGAAAGTGGAGTGCAAAGGACAGGACAGAGATGTGACAAACTTCACAGGATTCTAAATACTCATCGCCGGAGCAGACTACTCTAGAATGGCACATGAGGCCAGCCAGAGTTTGGGTTGTATAAGATTTTGAATTGAGCAGCAGACGTTGCGTATGGTAAGTTGCCACCCCTACAGACCGGACAGGACCGGTTCGGGTGTAGACTGTGGAAGCACTGCATCCAATTCTTGCAGTCGCAGTTGCTGCATCGAATCGCTCGGCACAGACAGATGTCACAGGCTACGTGGCTCCTACACACTAGGAACACAGAGCCACCCCGACCGCAATTGTAAAGACATTGTCGTTCCAGCCCCTGTCTACAAATTGAACACGACATGTCAGGGTGCCGTACCAGAGTGCAGTACGGACTGTCATCATACATATGAAAACAAAAACTCGCATGGGCTATCCCTTCATAATCCTCTCAGCACAAGGCATGTGAACCACATGCCAGCCCGATCTCAGGCGGGTCAACACAGAGAGGCACTGAGCAGGTTTCATGAGTTTCCGCAGTGTTTATTCCCTCTCTATGGGCAGACGACGATGGGGATTGATCCTGAGCAGGGTGCTTATCTGCTGCAGAATTTGTGTGTGTGTTATAGATTTTCCCCACAACAGCCCGAATTCCACCCAGATGAATAGATTCAGAATCAATGCAGTCTTTGTCCTATAGCAGACAACGAGAGCATTTGAGATGAGACAGTCCAACATATTAAAGCAATTTTATAATTAGACAGTTTGTTGGTTGTCCTTGGGGTACCCCTTCCATTTGTTCTTGCAGCTCCCCTTTTACTGTGCCTCTTAGGTACAAGGCTGCCCACGTTGCTTGTGGTTGTGCGGCAGCTGCCCACATCCCCGTGTGCCTTCACGGCCCACTTGCGCGTTATGTCAGGAGGCAGAGTAAAAGGGAAGGTATGCTCCTGTGCATTTCTCTTCAGGCCTTCATACTCCTGTTCATTTCACTTCAGATCTTCAGCTTCCGTTCATTTCATTTCTGATCTTCATATCGTCTGTTCTCTTAATGATGCTCGTTCGTATGTATTGTTAGTAGCACAAAGGGAGTGGAGGGGAACATCTTGGGTTGAGTAGTTAATTCCTATGGCAAGTGGCCACCCCTACAGACCGGACAGGACCGGTTCGGGTGTGGACTATGTGTGTGTGTGTGTGTGTGTGTGTGTGTGTGTGTGTGTGTGTGTG